ATGAGACCTCAGGAGCTGGGGGAAAGAAAATACCCCAGAGAGAAAGAACAACCACTGGGGACAAGTTGAACATCCACTGGAACTCCCGGGAATGGGAGTCGTCTGAGTTTGACTCAACTAAGACACAGAATCTTTCTTGAACATCTGTGACATACAGCAGAGAACTCAGGCAGCCATTTTCTCAAGGGTGGGACAGCTACAGGCATTCACAAACTGAGTTTATAAAAACAAGTTTGGAGAGAATCGAGCTGAATGACACTAAAATAACCTCTCAAAACCAAGTCCAAACTCCTTTAAAACTTCATATATTCAGTGTATCAATTTTGAAACACTGCCATAATAAATTAAGGACATCTGTGGCCTAAAATCATATCCACCTATTGTTTCATAAATGAATGAGTGTGGTGGTTTGAATGAGAATGGCCCCCATAGGCTCAAAGATTTGAATGCTTGGTCACCAGGAAGTGGTACTATTTGAAAAGATTAGGAGGTGTGACCTTGCTGGCAGAACTGCCACTGGAGGTTTTCAAAAGCCCAAGCCAGGCCCAGTGGCTCTCTCTTCCTGCTGCCTGTGGATGGAGATGGAGAACTCTCAGCAACTGCTCCCATGCCTGCCTGAATGCCACCACACTCCCTGCCCCGCTGGTAATGGTCTAAATGTTGGAAACTGTAAGCGAGCCTCAGTAAAGTGCTTTCTTTTATAATTGTCCTGGCCATGGTGTCTCTTCACAGCGATAGAGCATTGACAAAAACAGTAAGAAATGCAGCACAGTGTGCTTCCATTGAATGCTCTGTTTATTAGGAAGTCAGTGTGGTTAGGAGTGAGGTCCCCTTCCCTGCCACTTCCTGCTGACAGCGACTCACATCTCTCCATTCCCCACTTGTTTTGGCTCAGTCTTCAATGCATCTCTGGCATCAGTTAAAGATTTCTGCTTTTAAGGGTTTCTATGATCACACTCACTTATTATCATGCAGTATTTTTCCCATTAGTACCTCTCAAATAAACTTAAAAGCTGAATGAAATGTCTGTACATTTCCTTACACAATTCCTGCTTGTTTAAGGGAATAAAGATGGTTTATTCTGAGGCCGAATATGAGTGATCACAGCCTAGAGTCACAAACTTAAATTGCTCCAAATTCCATGGAAGCTGTTTTGTGGAATGTTTACAATAACGGAACAAAGCAAGTCAGAAATCAAACCATTTTTTTAAAACACACGGGTGGAAGTATCAAAGACGTAGGTTATAGCCAGGTCTCTGAAATCTCATCTATCGGCTTCAGAGGCTATCTGACAGCATTCTAAGTTAGCACTTTGATTGGTCCAGAAGAGCGTTTTGTTAGGTTAACACAGTCTGAGAAATTATATCTGTTTATCAGAATGCTCCCAGAGGCGAGAAAGAAATAGCTCTTTAGGGGATAAAGACAGCCCCAAATACATAGGAGCTGGGCTCCAGATCTGCAGCAGTCCAGCCTCTCCACAGTCATGGACCTTTTAATCAGCCAATCAGCCTTGGTAGACACAGCTTCTTTCCAGGAATTCTTGTTCACAGTATAATTCCATCTGCATAAATGCTATTGACTATGTATGTATGTATGTATATATGTATGTATTATGTATGTATTTTACTACACTTTCTCTTTTCTGGGCTATAATTGCAGAGTATTAGACTTGGTTTTGAAAGTCTACATCAAAACATTACTAATTCTTAAATCCTTCACTCCTTTGAATATATTCAGATTCATCTGACATCATTTCCCTTTGGCTACAGAATGTCCTTTGTCGTTTCTTGCAGTGTTGGGAGCAATGTCTTTTGGTTTCTCTTTGCCTGAAGGCATATTTATTTTCAAAGCTGCACTGTGTAAATAAAGAATTTTAGGAGTCTGGCACTGTTTCCACCTCTGAAAGCCTTTATTGCATCTTGGGTGGGGTCTACACGGTTTCTAATGAGAAGCCAATATTGGTTCTTAACTCCTCAAATATGGCTCTTCTCAGTCTACTTGATTTTTGTCTTTTCCTTGTTCTTGTGCATTTGAGTATCCATTGGTTGGGGTTCTTTTGTCTACTTTCAGGTTTGCTGAGCTTCTTGGATATGTGGATACTTTTTTTTATTTATCAAATTTCGAAGTTTCTTTGCACCAGGACTGCAGTCATACATATTAATTTGGATGCTGTCATGCCTGAAATCACTAACACTCTATTTTGTCCTCTTGTGTTTTCTCTTTGCACTTCTTTTCTTTCTGAGCACAGATCTTTTCTTCTGCCCTATCTAATTGCCTTTTAAACCTGCCCCAGTAAAGACTTCATTTCAGAGATATTCTTTGCAATGACAGGAACCATCCCCCTTTCATTTTCAAACAAAAAGTGTTGTATTTGTGAGTTTTGTATCACGGTAATAAAAGCACCGCGCAGGAACAACTTAAGGCAGCAAAGGTTTATTTGGTCTGATGACTTCAGAAATATTTCAGTTCATCCCATAGCAAGGAAGGCATGGGGAGGCAGTGCAGCTCTTGGCAGTTGGTGTAAGCTAAGTGGCAGTGGGTGTTCACATGCCAGTGGATCAGGAATCAGAGGGCAGCCAGCATGAGAGACTAGGCTAATAATTTTCAAAGGTATACTCCCAGTAATCCATTTCTGCTAGCTACAGAAGTTTTCACCTTCCCTAAAACAGTACCACCCATAGAAGAGGAGCGCACGAGACTTCAGATGGTGAACCTATGGGGAGCACATCTTAGGTTTAAACTATAACGGGTATCCATCCATTCATTGAGGGTATATTAACAATTCTCAATGTATATAGCGGCATAAGCCTTAGGAAAAAGCTCTTTGGTTGTTAGTCTTTAAAAGTGAAATGCATACCACAATGAGGATGCAGCTTATGGGTACGGTGCTTATGTAACTCTCCTGACACAAAATAAGCCTATGTTCACTATATCATCTATCAATTCCACCCGAGGGAACATATAGGTAAGATGGATCTACTGTTACTGAAAACTTATCAAAGTGACACTTGATGTAACTCATCAATGTCACAAAAATTAATAGGTGTCACTCTTACTTAAGTGAAGTAGATGAATCAGTAACACTGACTTCATGTGACTATATTACAAATGCAGTATTTCTGTCCCCATCCTAAACTCCCTAAATCAGTACCTACACCTGAGCAGGACTCCCAGATATGTGGATCTGCAATGGTAAAGGGTGTTGATGCCACTGTGAGAACCTGAGCTTGGATGCCCAGAACCCAAATAAAGCCAGTAGTAGTCAGACTATAAAGTGGTAGTCTGTAACCCCAGCACCGCTATGGCAACTTGGGGTCCGAGGGCAGGGTGATCACCAGACACACCCACTGGCCAACCCGCCTGGACTACACAGCTATGAACAATAAAGAGACCCTTTCTCAAACAAGATAAAAAATGAGGACACATGTGAAGCTGTCCTCTGACCTCCACACACATGCCAGGGTATGTACATGCCCCACACTCACACACATCATACACACACACACACACACACACACACACACACACACACACACACCCTTTTTAAAAATCACTTTTACGGGCAGGTGGTGATGTCACACACCTTTAATCAGGAGGCAGAGGCAGGTGGATCTCTGTGAGTTCGAGGCAAGCTTGGTCTTCAGAGTGAGTGCCAGGGCAGACTCCAAAGCTACAGAGAAGCCCTGCCTCAAAAAACCAAAAAACTAAACAAACAAAAAAAATCACTTTTATGGAATAGATGAGTAGAATCCAGTTGCAAGGTATTTTAGCAATTAGCACACCTCAAATTTTAATGTGCATAGAGATCTGGGACATTTAAAACTATTTTATTACTATAATTATTATTTTATGGGGGTGACATGTGTCACAGTGCGTGAATGTGGGCTCATAGGACAGCTTTGTGAAGACAGTTGTCTCCTTCCACCAGGACTGGAACTCGGGTTAGTGGGCTTGCCATAACAAATACTTTAAGGGCTGAGGCACCTCCAGTCCTGGGAGCCGGGAGTCTTGTTCAGCTGCAGGAACTAATTTAGGGAATTTGGGGTAGGACAGGAGGAGATTCTGCATTTGTAACAATGTCACAGGAAGTCAGTGTCCCCGAGTCATCAACTACACTTCAGTAGCATGGGCACAGATGACTTTTCTGAGACGTGGATTAGTGGTTTTACTTTAGCAGCCTTGAGTTCAAGCTCCAGTTTTTGTTTCTAAGGAACTACGATAAGGGGTTAGTCAGCGCTAAGCTGCAAGATGAGAGCTGAGTTTCCTGTTTCTCTTCTGTGGGCTGTTGAGAAAGACTACTATAGAAACGTAACTGAAAGTGGTACGTAGACTTTTGGCCTAGGAAAGGCTTAAAGAGTCAAGCAGATGATGAAAGTGAATTTGCATACTAATGAGAGAAAAAAGTTTAAGAAGGGCGGCCATAAAAACAAGAGGCGGGACCTCGGGAATGTCCTCGTGGATGCGCATGGGATGTACCATATTGCGGAGAGGGGCGCCTCATCCAGACAATCTGAAAGAAGTGAAGCTCGTTTCTAGGATTATACCTAAATCGAGATACCTGAATAACCAACTTTTATCTCATTCTGTAAGTCAACCAACGTAAGACTGGAGTTCAGGGACAGCAAGTGGTTCAGCTTCCTGGTTTCGCGGCAATCCACTCCCCACGCGTGTATGTGCCTTTCTCCCCCGCCCACCGCACCCCAACCCCGTGCTCAGTGG